TTCATCTCACATACTGTGGGTATACATTATCAGGAGGGAGAAGGACATCATGCTAGGTAAAGTGGGGGGTCAGCAAAAAGAGGGAGACCCTCAACAAGATGGATTGACACTGTCGCTGCAGCATAGGGCTCCAAGATAACAACGGAACAGGCAATGTCATGGTGTGTCCCACATAGGGTTGCTGTAAGTTAGAACTGACTCGGTGCACCTAGCAGCAATAGTCAACATCTTTACTTAGCCTCCTTTTCAGCTTTGGTTATTGTTATCTCAGGATGTTTAAGATAATAAAAATTAGTGACTTTCCTATAACATCTTATCAGAAGCTTCTCACTCATCCAGAAATGTTTCTGAGACACGTGATGTTGTTCCTTTGAGAGATGTGGAAGCAAACACAGAAAAAGTCATTTACTTCTAGATAGTTCTTTGGAATGGCAGTGGCCCGCAGGTGTCAGAGCTCAAGAGGCTGGCTGTGGCCTGTCTTGCTGTGTAGTATTCCTCCCTTCTCACAGGGTGCCGCCCATTCTCACAGGGTGCCGCCCAGGGCTGTGAATGTGAATTGAAAGAAGAGAGGAAGAAAGGGTTAGTTACAGATTTCTTTTTGTCAGCCTTAGTAATTAACTCTAGAAAATATTGATTTCAACAATGAGAATTTCAGTTGTTACAGAAATCACATTTTTTAAAAATTAATTCATGTTAGTAACCTGCTCTGAGTAGGTATTACGTTCTTTATAGAGGTTTAAGCTAGACATGCAAGTGTCACGTTTTAAGCGTTTCTGGGAGTTATGAATAGGACCCTCCAGAGTACGAGGAGGTTGTAAATGGATTTTAATCCCATCATCAGCATGCTGATCCCTTTTTCTTTCTTTTAAGTCCCTGACCTTTTAGATTAGGGAGTCAACATTTGGATTTTAAGAGAATGGAAAATGAAAAGAATGGCATATTGATCAGGTAACGCATCTCCGTTGACAAGAACTTTCAGGAGTTTATTTTCGCTTAAAATGGTTGTTGCTGTTGTTATGTGCTGTCAAGTCAGACCCAACTCATAGCGACCCCTCCTTGGGTTTCCGAGGCGCCATCACTATGGGAGTAGATTGCCCAACCTTCCTTCCAGGGAGTGGCTGGTGGGTTTGAACCTCCAGCCTTCTGGTTAGCAGTCAAGTGCCCTAGGCACTACGCCACCAGAACTCCCATTTAGTTATCACCAAAGAAGTTTCACTGTTTATTATAGGTAAGACATTGTATGTTACAGCAAAGGCTGTGCTTGAACATGACTTCACTCTTCGTTAAGTTTTAGAAGTATGTGAAAATACAAATGATTTTATGCTAAGGTAGGTTTTAAAACTCATTCCCAAGGAAAAGCTAACCTAAACAATCTTGCAAGTACCACATGTGCATCTTGGCTGTGAAGCTGGTGGCAGCAGGATGTGAAGTGGGTTGCCTCATAGGCTCACAGAGCCGCAAAACCAGAGCCAGCCACCGGGAGTGCTCACGCACTGGCTATTCCTTCTCCTGGGAAAGCTGTTTTTTCTCTCAGAAGTTGAGCTGCTGAGTATGTAATGTCAGGTTCAGCACCTTGTGCTGCTTTAACGTTGAAGATGCAGTTTGGACATTTAAGGGTAATCTTACCCATTTCAGTTTATTCGCTGAGTGTACATTTCCTTTAGGAGAATTGCCTGACAACAGAGGAAATGGAGTTTAGTTTGTAAAACCAGACCTTTAACAAAAAAAAATCAAACTCACTGCCATCGAGTTGGATCCGTCTCATAGCAGCCCTTCCCTGGGTTTCTGAGGCAGTATCACTATGGAAGTAGATTGCCCAATCTTCTTGCAAGGAGTGGCTAGTGGGTTTGAACTGCCAGCCCTCTAGTTAGCAGTCAAATGTCTTAGGCACTATGCCACCAGAGCTCCTAGACCTTTAATGGTTTATCCTTTTTCCCACTTTGTTTTCATGTAAGTTCCAGCTGACTGGGGAGCCCAGGCCTCTCTGACTGCAGTTCTTGAGGTACAGACTTCTGCATGGTTGTCGGCCCTGCCAACGTGAACTGTGCAGCCACGGGAGCTGTGCTATGTAAAGCTGGTTCCAGCTCAGGGGGACTTTAACACCCTTACACAGCCTGCGCAATGGCGTTAAGCTTGAACAGCTGTAGGAAAGAAAATGCACTTATTTCGCATTTGAAATGTGATTATAAATAGAGTAAGTTAAAGTCCATCACCCTCCTCAAAAAAACTAAACTCACTGCTGTTGAGTCAATCCTGACTCATAGCAACCCCTCCTTGGGTTTCCGATGTGGTATCTCTACAGAAGTAGATTGCCCGAACTTCCTTCTGAGGAGTGGCTGGTGGGTTTGAACTGCCAGCCTTCTGGTTAGCAGTAAGTGGTAATGTAGCCGAGAAAAAGAAGTTTCATAATCTGAATAGCAGAGATATGTTAAAAACATTAACCTGAAAACCAATGTTTTAGACTACTTAATAAAGATTAAAGAAAACATTTCCATTTTGTCAGAATTTTTAGTTTTCAATTAATATAAAGGTTCATTCCCAACCAAAACCCTGACTGTTCTAAAGAAACGATTTAAATATTTTGTGGGTTATATATATATAATAGGTTACAGTCTTAGATTCTATTCTCACTATACTCAAATATCATTTCCTGTGTGAGATTTTGTTGTGAGGAAACTTTGTTTAAGACGGTATACTTTGTTGTTGTTGTTAGGTGCTTTCAAGTCGGCTCTGGCTCATAGCAATCCCAGTCAACAACAGAACGAAACAGTGCCGTTTCCTGCATTAGCCTCACAGTCCTTGCTATACCTGAGCCCACCCTTGCAGCCACTGTGTCAGTCCATCTTGTTGAGGGCCTGCCCCTTTTTTGCTGACCCTCTACTTTACCAAGCATGATATCCTTCTCCAGGGACTGGTCCCTTCTGACCACACAACCAAAGTAGGTGAGATGAAGTCTGGCCACTCTCATTCATGAGGAGTGATCTGGCTGTACTTCAGGATAGGTTTGTTCGTTCTTGTGGCAGTCCACGGTATTTTCAGTATTCTTGAAAATACAGATATACATTAAGAAAGCTCAAACTGTAAAAGTCAAATCTAGGTTCCAAAAAGAAAATCTATGCAAAATTTCAATGGGATAAAAACAGCAATATTCAAGAGTAGAATATGTTTTTTAAAAAAATATATATATATAGGAGTTCTGGTAGCATGTTGCCTAAGGTACTTGACTGCTAACCAGGAGGCTGGCGGTTCAAACCCACCAGCCACTCCTCGGAAGGAAGGTTGGAAAATCCTACTTCTGTAGTGATAACTGTCTTGGAAACCCAAGGAGGGGTCGCTAGGAGTCGGGGCTGACTCGATGGCAAACAACAACAATATATATATAACAGCCTCATTTTCACAGTTATATTGATAAATGAGTGATTGAAATACATATTTTTAAGGTATAACTTTTCATCTTTAAAGTCACCATCCTTCACATCCCTCATATTTTGAAATTGCATTTGTCAGGATTTACTAGTTGTTTTTTTTTTTTTAAATCTTTACAGTATTTTGAAATAATCTACTTTTCTAAAATCTGTTTTGCTTTAAGTATCCCTCTTAATAGGTTGGGGGTTTTCCCTTTTATCTGTGTCTTTGAAAATTGAAATATTACAGGTTTCCTCTATGCTGGCAGCTACCATCTAGCCAAGATTCCTGGCAACTCTGTGCTCAGATCTGATTAATTTCCACACTGTTAACTGTTTTTCTTCTATTAGATTTCATGCAAGTTCCTTTGTTTTGTTTCAAATAATGTGTTCAAGGTAATTTCTTTCCAGATAATTCCATAGTGAATCAAGTCAGTGTAGGTGCCCTACGTAGATGAAGTGTATTTCTTTGTCAAATTTGTTTACGAAAATGGAAGTCCAAAGGATTTAGCATACACACTTTTGAGTAATTGTACAGAATACCAACTAAAAGTACATTGACAGATTCAGTTCCCATGAATTAAATTCCATGGTTAACTATAGGTAAGTAACTAAGAAAGAGCCCTTGCTGGCCCACTGATAGGAGCTAGGCTGCTAACTGAAAGGTTGCAGGTTCATACCCACCCAGTGGCTCCCTGGGAGAAAGACCTGGCAATCTGTTGGCGTAAAGATTACAGTCAAGCAAGCTCTGTGGGGGCAGTTCTGCTCTGTCCAGTAGGGTCTCTGAGTGGGGAATTGAGGAAACAGTACCCAGCAGCAGCAGTGAGCAACAGAGAATGCTTTTTGTTTCCAATTCTCATGGAAATTGTTCTTGAACAGACTTTTCTTAGCCTCTTTTAACCTACATCCTTTTTGAAAATCATAAAATAAATTGAACCTGTGATCTAGAACTAGTAAAAACGTGTGTACAGGTAGTCCCTGACTTAGGATAGTATTTGAGTTAAAACGAACCGCATTTACAACCATCTGGTTTTGGTGGGTTTTTTTTTGGGGGGGGGCTTTTTTACTACATTTTGTGGTTAGTAATATTTACTACAGGAGCTCTGGTAGCGTAGTGTGGTGTGAGATTTGCCGTTATTGTATCTGTAAGTTGATATGTAATGTTTCCAACACCCAAAAGGCAAAGACTAGATTTATAAAGATACTGATAAGAAAAGGTAATAATGAAAACAAAGGAGCTGTGGTGGCACACATTTACGCATTTGGCTGCTAACCAGAAGGTTGGTGGTTCAAACCCACCAGCTGCTCTGCAGAAGGAAAATAAGGCAGTTTACTTCTGCAAAGATTTGCCACCTCGTGAATCCAGTGGCGTCACTATGAGTTGGAGTCTACTCAATACCAGTGAGTGGGTTTTTTTGGAATAATAAAAACTAAAAAAATGAGGTATTCAATTTAGGTTAGTACTGACTTAAGACTGGAACAGCCTTGTCGTAAGTCCGGGACTATCTATATTTGAAAAACACCACATGCACCTTGTTCCAGTTTTGTTAGGCCCTTAAGTGAGCATCTCTGTTCTTACCTGAACTTCACTATACTATGAGTTTAGGCTGAAAAGCAGTTCATAAGAAATACCTCAGCCATTTCAAAAATAGCCATTTGTGCCACTGAGCTTTAAGAGAAGTTAAAGAACAGCTCAGATCAGACTCATCACAAAAAAGGGTGAGGAGCCGAGCTACCCTGCAAAGAACTTAGGGGGTTAGGATGGACACACAGATGGAAAATGCTAGCTCACCTATGGAGACTAGAGGTTTTGCTATGGAATAAAAGTCCAACTTGTTTTGTTATAAATGAAAAGGAGCAAAGAGAGTCTCGTGACAGAACTTAAAGGTGAAATTCTTCACCCTGGATGAGACTCGGGGTGACTGTGCTGTTAGAATATTAGAGAAATGATGGTGAAATGTATACAAGCTTTTGGGACAGGTTCTGTGTGAGTGGTGGTCTCTAGCTACACCTCCTACCATTACATGGGCACACACAGGCCAAACCTCTTAGACAAGTTATTTTGTTCCGTTTCTTAATAGTATCTTGGATTCTGTGAGATAGTAACAGCTCAAAAAGTAAAATGTATAAACTACCCTTTAGTGGGAATTCAGTTGTGTTATTATGTGCTGTCTAGTCGGACCTGACTCACAGCGACCCCTCCTTGGGTTTCCGAGGCAGTATCGCTACAGAAGTAAGATTGCCCAATCTTCCTTCCGAGGAGTGGCTGGTGGGTTTGAACCACCAGCCTTCTGGTTAGCAGTCAAGTGCCTTAGGCACTAATTTTACTGAATTTATTCAAAATAGGTTTTTACTCAGAGTTCTTAACTGTGATAAATGTCATTAAGGAACCTAATTTTTGAGGGTTTTTTCCTGAGTTATACATGACTCCGAAAAATGCTGTTGTAATACCAGGGCTCTCTTAGGTAAAGGATTTGTTAGGTCAGTACTCATGTACTTACCATTGACCAGATTGGAAGTAGTCTGGGGTGCAGGGGGCTTACACTGCCCAAAGTCTTCTTTTTTACTCTTTACTTCTATTATTTCTTCTGCAAAATGGAAACAGTTATCCTGCTTCTCCAGAGGGCTCAGGGGGAGTGCTCTAAGAGCCCCCCTGTGAGCAGGTTTGAAAGGTTTTTTCTAGTCCATACTAGAGTTAAGAAGTAAATGATTTACCAATGTAGCATTATCCTGTATGAGTGATAATATATTTATTTGACTGCTTATGTATACTGTAATAATTTCATTATGTTCTGATGCAAATAATTGTTATGAGACACTGTAGTATTCATATGTAATTTTCTTTTATCAGATATTAAGGAACGATTCACAAATTATGTGCTGTTATTGATAGTGTGTCTAAGGAACATGGAACAATTTTCTTGGAATCCAGGTAACTAACTCTTAACAAATATGGTGTCTTATAATTTCACTCTTGAACCAAAAATCATCTTTTTATATATGGACTAAAATAAATATTGCTGAAACTCCAAAACTTCATTGTGTGGGAAGTGGAAGTACCTTTTTCCATAGAATAAATTGAGTACTTTCTCCATGGTGGAGTACTGCCTTAGTTTCGTGGGGCTGCCTTGCTGACATACCACAAAGAGGGGGGCTTTAAAGAGCAGAATTGTGTTTCTGCACAGTTGTGGGGGCCGGAAGTTCACGTTTAGAGCATCTCAGGGCCATGCCCTCTGTGGGCCCCAGGGAAAGAGCCTTCTTGTCATTTTCAGCTTCTGTAGCCCCAGGGTTCTTGGCATCCCTGGGCTTGTAGTGGGACCCTCATGTGCTGTCTCCCCCATGTGATGCTGTGTGTGTGGCTCTTCTCCCCATTGATGACACATCCCTCAGAAGGGGTTGCAGTTAGGACCCACCCTACTCCAGGATGACCCATGAAGCCAGGGGCTCACGTCTGTACCCCCACTCAAAGCTACGTATATGACACATAGAAAGTGTTGTATGAACACTTACTTAATTTGTTAAAATATGGCTCTTTTGATAAAAATTATAATTAATTTTACATTAGTTCTGTCATTGTTCATGGTTTGGCCCTTTGGAGATTTCAGATTTCTGTGATTGCCTGAGATACTTTGGAGTCCATTCACATGGAGAGATTTCATTCTCTTTTTTGTCTTCCTAAACTTTATAGATCATCTCTGGGTGTTGTTTCCAGATGTCTGCATGGTGATAGCATCAGAAATTGCTGTGGACATTGTAAAACATGCTTTCATCACCAAGTTCAATGACATTACTGCCGATGTATGTATTTTAATAAGCTATTCAGTGTCTAAAATTCACTTCTCTTTAACATTATAAAGTTGTAGAATACTGAGTTTAGGTTTGTTATATTTATAAAGATAATAGACAATTACTACTATTTTTAAGTTAGAGTTAAAATGTCAGATTTCTAAACTGATTTCCCTCCTGGGAGAATATTTTATTTCAGTCTTAAACAGTCAGAGGTCCACATTTTTAGGTGGAAGTGTAGATTAGCCAGTAGTTGAGGTGACGATGTCATTTAACTCAAGATCGTTGTTAATTGTTACACTGTTAGAATCTGGTCACTTTTAGTTTTTTAAATCACATTATTTCTTTTAAAAAAAAATTTTTCAAAACTTTTTTACTTATTTACTTATTTTAAATGTTATTTTTTGGTGACAATACACGTATAAAAATATATACTAATTCAGCAATTTCTACATGTACAATTCAGTGGCTTTGATTACGTTCATCACATTGTGTGATCATTTTCACCATCTTTTTCCAAATTAGTCCCTCACCATTAAGATAAACTCACTGGCCCTAAGCATCTCATCTGACTGTCAAGTTGCTGTTATCATTTGATCACATATAGACAGTTCTTCAGAAGAGCACACTGCTCCAGCCAGCCATTCTTTACTTACTAAGCTAAACTAGTGTTTAGTTTAAAGGTGATTTCAGGAGATAGTTTCAGTGAAGATTTAAAGATTATCTCAGAGCAGTAGTTTCCGAAGAGTGGAAAAGAGCTCCATCCAACGTGGTGGATTTTTAAAATATATTTTAAAATTGAAATGTTTTCCTGTGATTGTGAATAAGTTCCTGATAAGTTGTAGAAGACAAGAGCCTTGTATTTTTCTGGTGAAAGTATTTGGTGAAACTTTGTGAGATTTGTTTTAACTGTAGTCAGATATCCTATAGAATTTTCAAAAATGGGTATTTGGCTATATAGGCAAATTGTATATAAGACAGAAGAGAGTTTCCTAGCGCATTCCTCGTTCCTACCCCAGTCCACAAATGGATATTAGTTTGAGCAGTTGTCTGGATTTTACCGGGTCGTACTTTTAATAGTCTCATGGTGCTTACTGTTTTATTTAAAGAGACAGAAATTTAAAATCAAGTGTAGTTGCAGCTGCTCCACTGTGATGACCTGACTGTGGGCTCCTGCAGCCTTTACTGTCTCTCAATAAAGGATGACTTGGGAGTTCTTTTGTAAAGCTCTGATAAAGCGATCCACCCTTTACTCTCTTCCTCGATGCTGAACAAGCCCCTTGTCACTGGCTCATCTTCTCAGCACCTGAAGTAAAAATGAACAGGCTCAACTCAGGTGTTAAGTGGATTTTTTAGTGGAAATGGCAATTTGCAAGTACCTTTATAACTGCTACCTTTCCTTACTTCTAAATCCCACTTAATACCCATTTTTCTAAAAGGCGTCATGATGGCTTGATGTACAGTGATAGTAAGTTTTAACTGTTCATCTAGTGTTAAAAAATTTAAATTATCTTCTGTATATTACACTTCTTAAAAGAGCTACTTTTCCCAAAATTCTAAATTCACAGAGGCAGCAGCAGCAGCATTGAGTATGTCTCCCTCTCTGAAGTAGAAAAGAGAAACTTTTCAAAGGCCTGTGAACATAGCATTCAGGAGGGGCCGTGGAGAGTGAGGTGCTGTTTGACCTTTACTCTAGAGGAGCTGGACCCAGATGTCTGGTGAAACACTTGATGAATACCTGTTCCTGCTTCATTGCATAGGCTGAGCATTTTTATCTACTAAATCTGAATCTTTACATATTTTATATTTTCACCGTTTACTTAGTATTTCTTACTTGTCTCTAGGTCTACAGTGAATACAGAGCCAGCCTTGCCTTTGACCTTGTTAGCAGCCGACAGAAAAATGTGAGCCTATATCAATACCATCCTCAGAATTTAACTCTGAATAGTGGTTTAGTTCCATCGTGGAATATTAGTTAACAAAAACTACATAAACTTACCTTCTTACTGTCTCTATTCTCTACACTAAATGTTACAAATTAACAATAATAATAATACTTAGCCCATTACACAGTGCATGATTTTTACAGCATTGTAATGTTACGCAGCTTGGTATTTAGTACTTCTTATGAACAGTTAGATTTCTGCATTGTTTTACTAAATTGCATAATAGGTGCTAGGTTTTCTTGTTCGTAGCTTCACCTGTTTAGAGCATGGGCTGGTGCTGAGTGAGCAGTACTGTTAAATGCTGTTTAAAGCCCATAAACCAGAATCCTTTCCTCTTTGTCTCTCCAGGCGTATACTGATTACAGTGACTCAGTGGCACGGAGGATGGGGTTTATTCCTCTCCCACTAGCTGTTTTAGTAAGTCCATACTCTCTTTCCCTTTTTATGGTAGAGATAGCCATAGTTAATACATTTTTTAAAAAGTGGATCAATAAGTTTGTTTACAAAAGATCATGATGATCAAGGTGAAAACGACTTGGAAGGAAAATTGGTCTTAAGTGATAGCATTATCCTTTTGGATTTTGAGCCACAGCAGATCAGTGCTGCTGAGGCCTGTTGGTGTGTAGTAGCTTTCCAAGCTGGGAGGCTGCTCTTTTTGGCTTATTCATTTGGCAGAGATCTTTAGTAATGGCAGTACCCGGTGGGGGCTTTGCTGTGGCTCTGTCTTATCTGCAGGTGGGAATAGAAATTAACTCAACATTGTTGGGGGACAGTTTGACAGTATTATACTTTGACACAGGAACTCCAATTCTAGGACTTTGTCCTAATGAAATAGTTACAAAAGGCACATAGTGGTTTATGGGTACAGATACACATCACAATAGCATTTATAGTAGTTAAAATTTAGAAATTTATAATAGCTAAAATTCTAAAACTTAGAAACAAAGTAAATAGATTAAATAAATTATGATTTGTCCAAATGGAGAAATATTTTGTATCCATTGTAATAACTCCTTTTTATAAATTTCCCAGATTTTTTACAATGAAAATTACTACTGACATATTCAGAAACTCTCATATTTCTAAAACAAAAAGTAGCTCTGACACTTACTAAATTAATTTTTTTAAAAAATGAATAAATTTGGAATATTTTAGTGAATTGTTTGCGGCAGCCTTGAAAGTAGTTACTGGCCCACATCAAGGCTGTAATACTATTAAGAACATTTGTTGGTTGTACCCAAACTACCTAGTCTCACATCACATCAGATGCAACCATCTTTTGCCTGAAAGGCCTGAAGAGTTCTTCTAGATAACACAAAGTCTCATGGAAATCAACTAAGAAAAGCATAAAGGAGAAGTCAGTTGAACCAACTTTTTTTTCAACCAGTGTGCCTGACATTTTTTAGCTGATGGGTGATTAATAGGTTCAGTGATACTTAAATTTCAGTCCAGGTCTCCAGATAACCACATCCTAAAATATTTTCAATTATATTACTATGTTTACTTGCTATATATAATACAATTTTCTTTTGTTTGGGAAAAGGAACTCAGAATTGTGGAAAGGGGAATTTTAAAGAGGAAAATTACTTGTTAACGGTTTAAGAGAGTGGATAAACTAGAGTATTGATTGTTTTTTCTACGTTTATTTTCTGCAACTGGAAGCATGAGACAAAAAGATTGAGGATAAATCCAGGTTTGCCTGACAGATTTGCAAAAAGGCAAAGGATTGGTTGGATGTTTGGGTTGCAGTGCAGCCCTTCTTTGCTAAATAATAATTGATTGATTTGTCTACAGAACCACTTACTTGCCAGACAGCTTTATAATCATATTCTTTTTCACTTAGTATTTTAAATTTTTCCTGCAGTCTTTGTTTTGTTCTTTTCTTTAAATGAGTTTTTATGGTTATTATACCAAAAGATGTAAACTTAATAACTGATTACTAAAAGCTTCTGGAAAACATCCTGTATTTTCAGAGGCGATGATTCAGTGCCATGATGTAGGGGGTTTGCTTTTGAGGGACTTTTCTCTCAGAGCTTCATGAGGTGCCATCACTTTGGTGGACAGACATCTGGGAGCCGTGAGAGACATGCTGAGGCCGCAGTAATCAAGTTAAGGCACAAGGATTGCAGAGTTTCCTTCTAAATGTTACCTTAGGTCCTCCAATGAATTCCTATCCCAAAAAAAGTAAAATAAATCATGTATTAAGGTCTCATGGGAATGAGACTTTGTACTTAAGTATCTTAAAGTTAAATATGAAATTAGTTTGTTTCCATATTACTGACTAAAATCCTGGAACCACATTAACATGTGGTATTCCTTTTAAAGATTTGAAATAAACGAGGCTTCCAGTCATTTTTTTTTTTCATAGTGAAATTTATTTAGTGCATGACAGTCCATTCCCCCTAAAAAAAAAAAACCAAAAACCAAATTCACTGCTCCCAAGTCAGATCCGACTCATAGCGGGCCCCTCCTTCGGTTTCCGAGGCAGTATCACTATGGAAGTAGATTGCCCAACCTTCGAAGAGTGGCTGGTGGGTTTGAACCACCAGCCTTCTGGTTAGCAGTCAAATACCTTAGGCTTTATGCCACTGGAGCCTAGCAGACTTGAAAGGATAATCCTGGGACTCTTTCATTTCTATAAGATAAGTAAGAAAACAGGTGTACAAAGGTAACTATCTGAACTAGACAAAAATGATTTCCCCTTAATTTTCTAGTGGTGTTTAGTTTTTTAGAACAGTACACACTTCTACACTCCCTTTTCTTGTGTTCCTTGTAAATTATTGGAAGTTCTTAAGGCACCAAAGACCGAAAAAAAAAGGCGGGGCGGGGTGGGGGATGGACGGACAGGGATAAAGCAAATACCCACTAAATATTTTTAGCTCTGGCAGGGAAATGTGTACCAGGAATTCATTTGTACTTTCTGGGATAGTTTTCCATTGAAAAAAATGCTCATTTGCGTCTCCATTAGGTGCAGGTAGACATGCCATCTGTGGACTCTGTGCAATCTGACCCCCAAGGGTCAGCAGAGGTGCCCTAGCTGCCTGAACAAACCAAATCTACCACCACAGGTGTAAGATTTGATAGGAATGGGCACATCACAGACTACCCATGTGGATCATACAAAGGCCGCAGGTGTAGGCCCAAATCGTTCAAATCAGTGTGGAGAAATGGTTTGTTTCAGCATTAACTGATAACTCTCTGGTCATATGTTTTGTTTGTGTGTCTTTGTTGTTTTGGTTTGTTTCTGGCCAGCTCATCAGAGTTGTGACAAGCTCAGTTAAAGTACAAGGAATCCTGTCCTATGCCTGTGTCATACTCTTCTATTTTGGGTAAGATAACATTCTTCTTCTTTTTTTATAATGGCTTTATTGAGGTATAACTGACATACAATGAGCTGTACATATATAAACTGTGTAAGTGGTAAGTTTTGTTATATGTATGCCAAAAAACTAAACCAAGCTCACTGCTATTGAGTTGATTCTGACTCATAGCGGCCCATCGTTGGGTTTCCGAGGCCGTGTCACTACGGAAGTAGATTGCCCAATCTTCC